CAGTGAACCAAATAACACTACAATTTGTGTGTGTTTTCAAGAGCATATAAGAGCCATAATAATGTGTGGCTGAATTCCTAAATGATGAAACAACAGAAAAATCCGGCGATGAAGGAGGACACGTCTCACTCTGCTGGCCATTAATCTGTGGCTTGAGCACAGTTTGTGTTATATAGCAGCAGCGCCAGGGCTAATGAACTGGATGTGTCTCTTGAAATTAAATGTCTCATCAGTCACGCATACTTGTGTCTTGATTGTACAACCTTCATTCAAGAGCCAGAGACTGGCAGCCTAACTACCTCTACTATGTGTTAAGGAAATAGGACCTTATTACAAGTCAGTGAACCAAATAACACTACAATTTGTGTGTGTTTTCAAGAGCATATAAGAGCCATAATAATGAGCTCTGATGCTTGTTCACATCCTAGAGCGAGTACATCATATCATCATAAAGCAAACATGGGATCATACTTATATGTTGGTGGTCTTATTTTGCATTGATTCTTTAGGGAAGTTTTTTTTTTTTTTTTAAATGTACCCTTTATAATAAGTTTACAGTAACAATACTTATAATTACATTTATAGTTATAGTTAATTCATAGTTTATAAATGGTAGTCTGTACATAGTTACATTAATAGCTTATATACAAATAGTGAGTTTTTCCTTCAATGTCACGGTGATTAACAAGTTATTGTTTATCTCATATGTAGATGTTTTTAAACCTTTATTAACCTGTTCCAAACCAAAATGATGTAGGCTACAGTATTTTAAGTGATTTAATCCTACCTTTATTAGACATTAATTGCATAAATGCATGAATGTGTCACGGAATACTTGGGGAAACAAAATAAGATCTAAGTGCACTTTATTTTCCAGACGAGATCCGAAAATCAGAGCAACATGCAAAAACACAAAGTAATGTGAAATACTGCAGCAACAAAAGACTGGGTGAGCATGGTATAAATAATGAGCTAATGAGTCAATGACATACAGCTGGTGGCAGTAAAAATCATGAGTGCAAGGGGTGATGGGAAATGAAGTCCAAAACAAACCAATAGTGAACAAAAGCGTACCCTCTAGTGGCTATCACAGGCACACCAGCTGATGGCTGTGACAGAATGTGTATCAGTTCACTTTATACATTAGCATTTCTTTACATTTCTTTAGTATTAATAACTTTTTAAGTTTTTCTACAATTTTTTCTACTATCTTTTTTTTTTCTATATTAACAATGCTTTATAGATAGATTTTTTTTAAAATGTTTGGATAGATGATGAAATGTACAAAATTGTACATTAACAATATTTTTAGTTACAATATGAGCCGCTCACATGTACATGAATGCTCTGTGAAGTCCTTTTCACAGAAACTAACAGGCGACTAAAACGTATCCCACTTGTCCCAGAAGTAAGAAGTGTTTTGAATGGTATTTCACATTGATTTTGTTTCAGGTTGAAATGGTTTCTTTTGTGTTTTCATAAATAAACTAAAAGGATAAATTTAGATGCATGCCTCTGTTCTTTCTGTCTCCTCATCCTCCACATGACAGATGTCTATCACAGCCCTTGAATTAGTACTTCAGTTCTCCTTTCATTGTGCTTACATTGCTGCTTTCATTGTGTTGCTCAGGAATTGATGACCCTCCTGCATCCCCAGCTCCTCCTCTTATCAGCAGTCGGGACTGGAATTCAGATAGGGGCTAAGCACTGCAGCTGAGCAGGCACCTTTTTAAATTTTTTTATTTGTAGACTTCTTCTGCTGTTGTGGCTCTTGAGTCTATGGCAACCCACAGAGCCACTTGTGGAACAGTTGTGAAATTTAGCATGCAGATAAAAAGACAATCTGAACATTAACCACAGCAAATTTGGGACTTCTACCCCAAACCCTGTAGTGTCACCAACTTCCCAAATTTGTGCTTTTGTTTGAACCATAAGGAAAATTTTTAACCATAAGGAAACTGCAAAACATTTGACAAACAGCACACTGTCATGAGGATATCTCTCCACAATGCTTTAGAGTATTAAGATGGAACTTACTACTTGTTATCGCAAACATAACTTAAAAGCACTTCAATCATGACAACTCTCTGAAGATTTTAGTATGGTGATGGATATGACAATGTTAATGTATTTGGTCTCGGTGGAATAGATCTGCTACGCTGCTGCTGCTGCTGAATTGCTGCTGCTGTTGGCTATTGCTGTAGTTGTAGATTATTGCTGCTGCTGCAAGCAAGTTAAGGGAAGTTTGTGAGTGTGTATCTAAAAGCGAAGTGGAACGCAGCCTAAGTCAGCTTTAACATTAACAACAATTGTCTTTTAGGCTTGTATCTGATGTACTGATTTGGTGGATGTAGATTATGTTACAAAACAAAGTATGTGTGTTCGGCACAATACCTTGAAGTTACTCAAAAAGTTTCAGGTCAGCGAACCTTGTCGTCAAAAACTATGAACTTCCAAAAACTGCTAATAGCTTGCAATTTTTTGTTGTTGTAAAATTATAAGGAAACAAGTCTTGAAAGATTGATTTTCAACAAATTTGAATCAAGTCATCTTTAGCAAAAAATATGGACTTTGTGATGATAATCGTTAGCATTAATGAATTTGATGACGTGATGCCAAACTGAACCCGAGGCTGTATTTCTGCAATGCTTTGACATTTATCTGTATTTTCTGTATTTGACATTTGCTGCTTGCAGCTAATTTTTTTTTTTCAGTTTAACCGGGGGTTATATGACTGCATGGCTGCATGGATGGGACTTCTTGCAGAACCATAAGGCCAATCTACACTGTATGCTAATTATCTTTGATGGTAGCAGTCCTGACTAAAATAAGCAGTTTCCAAGCAGATATGGGAAATAAAAATTGAGAAATGAACATGTCATATTCTGAGGTGTAAAACGCACACAACAACTGTGTAGTAGAGTACTTGTGCAGACTCACAAAATCAAATTGAAACCAAAATAGATTTCACACAGGGACAGAAACCTTTTCCCCACAGGAAGCCATTCTCTTGTTCTGTTAATAGGAAAGTGCATGAATAAAATGGAATGAAATAATCACATGACTCTGTGTAACTAGCCATAGTCCAATGCTGGCACAGAGAAAGGTCACCATTAAAAGAGTTTGCATGCAAATATGTAGGTCTTGAACTTTCACACAAAAGCAGACACCAAAACAAAAATCATAAGAATAATTAACCTCCTCTTCTACAATTCTATATCCAAATAAGCAGTGATGGGCAGTAGCGTTGCTACAAGTAGTGACGCTACTAGCTTAACTACATTTCTCAGTAGCGTGGTGGTAGCTTCGTTGTTTTCTTAATCAAACAGCTTTTCAGTAGCGAAGCTCTGTTTTTGATCAAGTAGAGCGGTAACATCAACAAAAGCTACATTTTTCAAAGCATTCTGAAGCTCAAGCTCAAATCGGAAATATAACTGCTATGGATCACTGATTGGCCAACAGCAAACATTTATTTTGCCTATAAGTCACAATATGAGGTAAATCCAGCCCTGTACATGATACTGGTTTTTGTTGCCAAATTGGTTTGGAACAGTTGTTGAATAAACAATTAAACTGAACTATTATGCCGGCCAATCTGCTTGACTGACAGTTTTATTGATCACTGAGAGAGCATTGACTTGGTATGATGTTAAAAAATATTAAAAAAAAATAGCTTAGATGCAGTAAACTAATTTTGCCATGTTGCTGTAGCTTAGCTTGCTATATTTCCCGGGGCTGCTGTAGCTTTAGTGTAGTGAAGCTTAATTTAATGATGAGTAACTGTTAGCTTAGCTCACTACATTTTCCAAGTAGCTTGCCCAACACTATATATATACAGGTTCGCTACAGTTCTCTTACTTGCAACCTGAGAAAATTACAAAGCAGAGGTTTGTCTTACGTTTACTGCTTAATTGGTTCAGCAGCGGATATTTCAGCGGATAGAAGACCTTGTTTGTACTTGCGTTTTGGGTGACAGCTGAAGTAACACGGCGAAAAGCGAAGAAGCAAGCAAGCGAGCGAGTCTGTCTTGCATTGGGTTTTTGATCCGCGGCATAAGTCCGTCCCACGGCGCGATCTTCCAATCGACTTCTTGCAAGGCGGAGCATGCATACATTAACATGAGGCTTCAATTTATCATGTGGACAAATATCTTTGCGGAGATTTGTTTGATACTTCTATGAAGTTTATTAATGCGAGTATTTTACAGACTTCCCACTTTTTCATTCAGACCGCTGTTCTGAACACTAAACTTCACATATTAAAGGGGTCATATGATGCGATTTCAATGTTTCCTTTCTCCTTGGAGTGTTACAAGCTCTTGGTGCATAAGATCTGTAAAGTTGCAAAGACTAAAGTCTCAAATCCAAAGAGATATTCTTTATAAAGGTTAAGAGTCAGCCACACATACCTAAAATGGCTCCTTCTAACACGCCCCCACATATCTACATCAC